CCAGGTCGAGCTGTTGTTCACCATCTTAGCTGTAGAGGGCGCAGTGTCACTGGCCCTCATGTGGGATCCGAACCGGGGTCCTGCTGCTCAGAGCTGGCGTCCCAAGCCATCTCCTAACCAATGTGCCATTTGGCCGGCCTATTTCCACCTTCTTTTAATCTTTGCTCAAACTTCCTTTCTCAGTGATGCTTACTCAATTGCCCTGTTCAAAATACATCCCACTTTACAGATGTCCCCAATTTTCTAATCCAGCGATACCTAAATGTTTTCCTTAACATTCATCACTTTCTAATATACTATATTATTTACTTATTTATTATGTTTTTTGGCTAATCTCATTTCCCCCGTAGGACATGGGCTCAATGTGAGCAGCTATTTTGTCTCTTTTATTCACCAACACACCCCAAGTTCCTATCACAGTTCCTGGCACATAGTAGGTATCCAATAAGTATTTGTATGGTGTGTGAATTTCCCAGTGCAACACCTCCCTGCGACCCTGCAACCGATTTTAAGTGGATAGATCTGTGGAAATTATGTGAGAAACTGTGTTTCCCACCCAGATGACTTTGCGAAAAACAAGCATCTTGTGAAGACGCAGGAAGCAGAAGAGCCCAGGAGCAGAAAACCACAAACGCTCTTTCCCCCCACACACCCTTCCCCACACCCAATAGCAAAAGCAGCAGAAATCTCACGGATTGGAAGTAGCATAATTGTTCAACCCCAGACCTGTAAGATCAGACTCCATGAGTTCAAATCCTACCTCTACCATTTACCATGGAGTGACCCTGAAGCTCTCTGTGCTTCTATGTTCTTTCCTGTAGGTGGGAGTGACTAGAGGATCTACCTTGGATACAATGGTCAAATGAGATAACAGCCCTAGGCATTTCCAATCGTGTCTGTGTGTGGTGGGTTTCAAGAAATTGAAAAGTTATTACTCATTATACTTCCTGGAACTTTGAGGCTTTAACTGACATTAGATGATGTGGATACTGATATAGATATAGTTATGAGCATGGATATGGATATAACTCCTGATATAGATCATACATGCAGCAGTCCCTGTATCTTTTATCCACTTCTTTCCTCCTCACCCCTATCCAACATGAAAGAGGGGCCCCAAGATACTAATGCACAAAGTTCTGCTCATTTTACCAAGAGCAAAGCTTGCTTGTCTTAAGAGTCTGAGGGAGAGTAGGGGTAAATTTACACAAGTAAGAAGGAGAGGGTGGCTGAGAAACAGGAAGAAGTAAACGTATGTCTGTGCATTTCATGTGGCTGAAAAATTGTTTGAAGAGAACAATTATAATGCCTTTTCAAATATCCTGCCTGCAAGCACGTGTGTGTGTGTGTGTGTGTGTGTTTGTGTGTGTGTGTGTGTGCACTTCTTCACACTCACTGTACTCATACATAAACACACATAAATACATGCATTGACAAATATCTATAAAACTATATCCTAGCATGCTAATATGCAGGTTGTTTTAAGGAATAAATGAAATTATAATACATATTAAATGCTCAATAAAAACAATGATACATAGGAACCATCCAATACATCATTAATAAAAAGCTCACAAGTACACAAAGCACAATTTGAACTCTGGTGTCTGTGAGTGGTCTGATGGGCGGTGACAATTCTTTTATTTGCTTATCTGTGTTTTCTGCCTTTTCTACACTCAGTCTCCACTGAGAAGTCAAATAGTATAACCTAGTTAAAAAATGACCTGTGGAGCTGGTGAGCCTGGGCTTGAATCCTGGCTGAACCACTGCCTTACATAGGTGACACTGAATAAGCTACTCTCTCTGCCTCAGTTTCCCCATCTGTAAATCGGGGATAAGAGACATAAGTATCACACAGAGGTGTTTTGTGGACATTAGATGAGTCAGTCCACACAAAGTTGTCGCTGCTGTGGTTTGAAGCATCATCTGTTTTGATGCTTCTGGTAACAGGTGCAGGTCATGGCGACAATGCTCACATCTCCTATTTCATGCTCTCAGATAATCCCCAGTCCTTGGCCTTCTGTGGCAGCCCTGAATGACACACCCCTGTTTTCCTGGACAAGGAGGGGTCCAGGGGCAGGGGGAGGGAATTCTAACCCAAGGAGTGCTCACCTGTGAGTCCCAGCAGTAGAGTCAGCAGCAGGCAAGGAGGAGGGCGGGGCCAGGAGGCAGGGATGGTCATCCTGGAGGCCTGAGCAGGCGGCTCTGTCCACATGTGGGCTGGAGAACCTGCACTCTCTGCTCTGTGAGAGGAGTGAAGCCCCGCCTCCTGTGATATAACAAGAAGTGTCTAGGATGGGCTGAAATGGCTGTGAGACAGTCACTTGATTCTAGATTCTAAACAGTTCCTGCTTTTAGATTGTGAAATAGAAGCAGGAAGTTAAGGCAGTTGCGTTGTGAGGAGTTAATCATCTTAATGGTTTCAGAGAGACTTGGACAGGCCCAAATTAATATATAAGTTCAATGCAATCAAATAATAATTCCTAAAGAGTTTTTTATAGAACTTGACAAAGTGATTCTAAAATATACTTGGGTAAAAAAACACACACGATTTTGTATAACAAAAAAAGGTGGGACTATTTGCCCAAAAAGGGTATGTAAACTTATTATAAAGCTACCTAAGACATGGTCGCTCTGACAGAGAGTGACAAGTAGCTCAATGGAACAGAGAGCTTATAAAAAGAACCACGTATTTATGGAAACGTGATGTATGGCAAATGTGGCAGTGTGGATCTTTGAGGGCTGGATAATTTATCCTTGTGGAAGAAGAAAAATGATCTCTACCTCCTAAACCACACACACACGCACACACACACACACACACACACACCCACACACACACAGACACACACACACACACACACACACACACACACACACACACACCCACCAGGAAAATATAGCTAGATCAAAGACATAAATGGAAAGAGCAAAACTTAATAAAATATTGAAAACACTTTTTATATAACAGAAGCTCCCATATGATACCAACACTGCTGCTTTGCTGACCACACTACAGGAACAAGAGGGCCTGTCTCATATGTGCCAAGGAAGTGAAGATAAGAATGTTTGCTGTGAAGTTATACTAGCAAAACATTAGATAAAGCTTCAATATTCATCATGAGAAGAATCAATGAATTGTAGCATATTCTTACATTAGAAAACTAGAGAACAGTGAAAAATTAATAAAATGAAGTTACATATATCAACATGAATAAAGTACACAATACAAAAAGAAAATAAAGTTCCAGAATGCCATACACAATATAATTGCTTTTATATAAAAATTAAAACATGCAATGTAATGTTAAATATTGCTTAAGAATTTATGCAAATGTTATAAAAGTATAAAACTGTAATATTTTACAAAAAATGACATGGTACATCCATGGGTATTTTTATATTATTCTTTATATATTTCAGCATAGAAAAAATTTATTCAACTTAATGATTTCAGATATATATGTTTTAGAATGAAATCATACTTGAAAAGCTCTGGATAAGGGTAAAATCTGCTCTGAAAATGATGCATTGTTCACGATCAGGAAAGGTTGGGAGCTTGTTGTCTTGTACAGCTTGATTCCCTATTGAATGAAGGCAGGACCCATTTGAAGCTCAATGCACTGGCTCCAGACTTCCCTGAGGTCTCTGCATCAAAGTCCATCCTTGACTCAGCTTTATTATCAGAGAGAAGGACCATCAGGAGGGTGTGTGGAGGGAGCATGTCCGTATGGAGGTGGGTCTAGCAAAGTAAAGGGCAGGGGTCTCAGGCAACCTGCAGGTTCTTGCAGCTTCTCCCCGCTTCAGCCCCTTGGAGAGGGCAGGAGGCAGTGTATTACAGGGCAGGCAGAAGCTGTAGGGAAAATCATTCATTCATTCACTCAACTAACTAAATCATTATTAATCCCACAAATATTTATTGAGCTCCTAGTATGTGGCAGGCACGCTGTTTGGTCTAGGTTCATGGTGCAGATCAGAGGAAGCCCCTACTCACTTCACCCAACATCTCTCTGAGATCCGAACTCTTCCATACCCATATTCATCTTTGCCACTGGACAGCACCGCCACTTTCCTCAGAAAGATTCTATTAGTTGATTTTGACAATATTTTATTCATTCCTAAGATACATCCTATGAAAAGCTAAATGTATAGCAGTTTATGGGCAGACTGTTTGCACTATGGGTCTCACAACTTTGAGCTTTATCCCTACGGCACCCCTTGGACTCACGCCGCCAGGGTCCCAAGGAACTTAATTTGAATACTTTCAAACCTAGGGCACTACACAATGCATACAAGGGTTGGAAGACTCTGAGAATTTAAGAAGACATTTGGAGAAAATAGGTATTTACAACTTTCTCTTGAGTCTGAATCAGCCTTGTGGCACCCTGTGACATTGTGGGCGTGCCCTGGACAACCTGGCCAGCCCATGACGACGGCCTGACCTCCCTTTCTAAAAACTAAGGCCTGCCCTCAACTCACCTGCTTCGGGTCCACCACCTGCTGATGTAAGTGACTGTGAAACTCATCACCAGCATCACCTCAAAGCCCAAAAGGAACTCTACAAAGATAAGGGCAGCATAGCTGGACCTAGATACCAATGGAGAGAAGGGGCCATTACTGGGGTTCTGTGAGTCCACTCAGGAGACACAGGTGACCCAGCTGCTCACAGTACTGGAAATGAGCTTGTCTGGGTTCCCAATTTGCTTGTATGTGGTGTGGGCTTCTGTGGAGAGTATGATTTTGCTCAATGGGCAGGTATGTCATGGGGTGCTCTACAGGTGAGCACCTCTCAGACCTCTGCAATGACAAATTTACCAACCGCAAGTTTTCCAGGGTGCAGGTTTCATCACTATTCAGTTTGGACATGGGTAGCTCAGCTACCTTGAAAACTGCTGGTTCTCCAGATCGGTGAGATATACACTCTGTATATAACCACCAAGTCCGAGGAGGGTGAAGACTGGGACACTGTCACTGCAGGGCAACTGACACAGCCCAGGGAAAGTAGACAATTACTGTAGGAAGTCCAGTGTGGGAACCTGGGAGCTCCTTGAGGATGAGGTCCTCTGCCCAGGGCCTGCCACAGAGGAGGATTTAGCTATTGGTTATCAGATGCATGTATAAGTAAATGCATGATGAGTGAGAGTGTGAATGCATGCGTGAATGCATGCTTGTATGCATGCTTGGATTTTGGATGCATGGATGGAAGAAAGAATGGGATTCTGAATAGAAGGAAATCCATCCTTAGCTTTTCTTTCTGTTCCACCTTTACCATCTTGTCACAGGCTACAACATGGATGAAACTTGAGGATATGCAAGACACAAAAAGACAAATACTGTATGTTCTATTTATATGAGGTGTCACGGATAGTCATACTCAGGGACAGAAGATAAAATCATGGTTACTAGACTGAAAGGAAGGGGACATGGGAGTTGTTTAATGGCTATAGAGTTTCAGTTTTGCAAGATGAAAAAGTTCTAGAGATATATTTGGCAAAATTATGAGTATAATTATTACTGCACTGAATTGTATATTGAGTCAGGATGGAAAAAGAAGAAACACTAGAAATGGACAACTCAAAATCTCTGTGCTCACAGAACTGGCTCTATCATTGTTTTTATATTTGATTGCCAATGTTTATGTATGTGACAGAATTTAGACTGTGACTCTCTTACTGTAATATAAGACTTGGTAGTAAAGTTTTGTGGAAAGAAATCTGGAGGCTTTTCCTATCTCATCTATTGGAGGCTTCCAGTTCTTGTCTAAAATCATGTAATAATTTTACATGGCCAAAATGGTTTAGAGTTTAAAATAGTGGTTAGATTTTCAGTTTTTATTTTGGCAACTTTAACATTTATTTTTACAAACTAAAATGAAGTAATGATCTTCTACTTTCACTATTATTTCATAACAGAATAAAAAGCTCTAACTTCAAAAACACATAATAAAGAATAATCCTTTAAATGAGACAGTTTGGCTTATTTTGCCCAGTTTCATTGAGATATAATTGACATGTAACATTGTATTAGTTTAAGTGTACAGCATAATGATCTAGTATGTGTTTACATTGCGAAAGGACTACCACAATAGGTTTGGTTGATATTCATCACCTTGCATAGTACACATTTTTTTCTTGTGATGAGAACTCTTACGATTTACTCTTTTAGCAAGTTTCAAATGTACAACACAGTATTGTTAACTATAGTCACAATGTATTGGGTTGTTGGAAAAGTCATGATGTATTTTTTCTATGTTTTCTGTTGCAATAATGCATCATGACTTTTCCGACAACCCAATAGTACATTACATCCCCTGACATTATTTATGGGGTCACTGGACATTTGTACATTTGACCACCTTCACCTTTCCCCCCAAGCCCACCCTCTTCTTCTGACAACCACCAACCTATTCTCTGTATCTATGAGTCTTTTTGTTTGTTTGTTTGTTTTAGATTCAATAATTGAGATCATACAGTATTTGTCTTTCTTTTTTTTTTAAAGATTTTTATTGGGGAATTGGGGGGATGGGAACAGTGCTGGGGAATTGGGGGAAGGGGAACAGACAAGTTGCTGTCGTTTTTTTGTTCTTCAATCTAGTTGTGGAGGATGTTGCCTCACTGGCCCAAGTTGGCACCATCATTGCGCTCTTCTCTGGCGAGGCAGATCAGTCGCCGGCTTCTGGACGGCTGCTCACTGCGGCTGCTGGCCGCTCACGCTGGCTGCTGGCCGCTCACGCTGGCTGCTGGCCACACACAGTAGCCCATGGCAATCCACTGCCACAGGGACTGCAGCCCACGCCGTCGCCGGCGACTCAGGGCAGCCCAGCTCCAGGTTGAGCTGTTGTTCAGCATCTTAGCTGTGGAGGGCAGTGTCACTGGCCCTCATATGTGGGATCCGAACCGGGGCCCTCTGGCATCCCAAGCGAGTTCTTAACCATCGCGCCACTTGGCCGGCCCAGTATTTGTCTTTCTTAATGCAAATTCTCTTACTCAGCAAAATACCCTCCAGGTTCTCCCAACTTGTTGAAATTGCTAGGTTTTCCTTCCTTTTAATGGCTGAATAATATTCTAGTGTGTGTGTGTGTGTGTGTGTGTGTGTGTGTGTCTACATTTTTTTAAATAAATTCATCCAATGATGAACACCTAGGTTGGTTTCATTTCTGAGCTATGGTAAAAATTGATGACATGAACATAGTGGTGCAGATAGTGATTTTATATCCTTTGGTTTTAGATCCACAAGTGGAATTGCTGGATCTACGGTAGATCAATTTTTAGTGTTTTGAAGACCTGTTATACTAT